GCTTCAATGTCTAGGTTCGTATTATCGATCGGTATAATACAATTATTCTCGCTTTAACGTTTACTGATTGTGTATTGGTGTGTTTTACGTCAGGTCTCCAAATTAAAATCTCACCGCAGGATACAGTTCTTATGATTAAGATTATTAAGCGTGAACTTGGGAAAGAAACGCTCAGACACTTCTGTGTCAAGCAATTTTAATTTCTAAACAAAACCTTAACACTCTAATATGCGAATTCTTATGCTTGAAATTGTCAACACAGTACCCGAGGAGATGTTCCCCCTCGTCGATCCATACATCTAACCCTCAATGATCACGTTTGTTAACTGGGTAACAGAACAATTGATTACTTCCTCAGAGTAACGAGAGCATGCACGGCGACGGGAATCAAAAGTCCTTAAAAATTTCACGCGACGACATTCATACGAAAGGCAACGAAGAAGCCTGTCCTGAAGGCAAAGTATACCGCAATTAATTCATGAGCAAGATTACGTAATTGCGAAATGTCTTGGAGCAAGGGGTGTGTGGCAGTACGCCTGCTTCAGCAAATACTCATCGATTTGGCTAAGGCTTCATGGATTCATACATTTAACCCTCAATGTTCACGTTTGTTAACTGGGTAACAGAACAGACGATGACTTCGTCAGAGCAACGCGAGCATATATCGGCGAGAGGAAAAGTCCTTAAAAATTCATGCAACGATTTTCATACCGACAGGCAATAAAGCAAATTGTTGTACCCCAAAGGCAAAGGTATACGTCAATAGATTCATCGGCAAGATTATATAATTAACGAAATGTCTTGGAATGACGGTGTGCGTGCCCTCCTACGGGAGATGCTTATCTTTGGCCAAGTTTCAATTAATTCGTCGACAAGATTACACGATAAAAAACAGGTTCAACACGACATTCTCTCTGTGGGCATGTAGATTCGTGACGGAGGTTTCAAATAGTTTCGTTTGTATCGATGCATCTGTCGGCAATTTATGCGATTGGAAGTAAAATCACGTAAAACAAGAAGATAAAAAATATATTAACGTACTTATAAACGACGTATCGTTATCACTCGACGAGCCGAGATGCCTTCACGGCCAGCCGATGGTTCACGCGACTTCACGATCAGTCTTCTAATTATTCTTGGCTCTTTCGGTAAAGCCACGTGGAAGGGAAACAAAATAATACAAATACAAAACGGTAAAATTCCCCACGACGTTTCGAACGCAACGCAAAGCAAGCAGTTGTCGCCGCCGTCGTCATCGGGTGTGAAAACCACAATCCGCCTTCTCGCGAATGATTCGCGTTTGCTTCGAGTGCGGATGCGTTCTCGGGCAGTTACGTGACGTCGGGCTGACGTCGGGCAACGCGATGGCGCCGTGCGTATCGTACGGATTAGCTGGGTCCTCCCTCCTCTCACACGGGGGGGGGGGGGGGGGGGGGGGCGGCCGGAGTTCGGTCCCGCAGTTGATGGGCAGAGCCGTCGCGCGGCGATCCCGTCGTCGGCTAGCGCCCGCGGCTCGCCCCGCTGCCGGCTGGGCACCCTCACTCGTTGTTTTTTTTTTCGGTCAAGTCACGCATGTAGAAGTACGATGAAATTGTATCGAAAACAAAAACATATATATATATGATCGCGACGTTTCGATCGCAATGCAGGCGGGTCTTCGCCGGGTGTCAAGAACAAATCGCGGAGGTAAATACAAACAACAAAAAGATGAGAGACGAGAATTCAACAAGCTCGAAAAAAACAATTTACGTGAAGCCACATCCAGTCAGGCCAACAACACAGTTAGACACTTCCTGGCGGACCACGAATTTCAGAGGAGTGTTAAATTTCGCGTTCAACCTTTGGATTGCGCATACCGGCGTAGATAGAATGAAAAATACGAGGTACACGGTCGGTAGAAATACATATACACGTCCACCAAGAGGTAAGGAGGGAGGAAAGACGGACAGGGAGGCAGAGAGAGAGAGAGAGGGCAGCTCAAAAAATGACCACCTCTTGTAAATACAAAACGGCAGCTCTAAAAAATGACCACCACCTCTTGTGAATACAAAACGGCAGCTCAAAAAAGGGCACCCTTCCTCGGTGGCGCTGCGATGACGTTCATCTGAACCGGTCCCGGGCCTCCCCTAGATCGACTCAGCCTCAAATGAGTACCTGGTGCGGTGTGTAGTGAACATCGTGACTGGGGAGGCCAAGGCGGTCGGGCGTGGTGCTGGCCACCCACCCCCTCGTGTGCCGTTCCGGCCTTCATAGGTGCCACTCGCTAACAGCACTCGCTCCTACAGTCTGTTAAGGCTACACGGGGGATCTTTATCTTTGTGTCATTTATTAAAAGTCATTTCCCTCGCTCTGGGCGTTACATTCCTTGCTATCCCGTGCTGCGGGAAGACAAAGACGGTTGGGCGGCTCTTTTTCCCTATGGAACGCAGTTTCTCTTGGTTGTGTGTAAGTTTGACCTATTTCGCCTCATCCCTTCACGATAGCCCTAGTATCCACAATGAGTAAGCCCACAAGCTAACCCCTAGCATCCACAATGAGTAAGCCCACAAGCTCTAACCCCTAGTAGCCACAATGAGTAAGCCCACAAGCTAACCCCTAGTAGCCACAAGGAGTAAGCCCACAAGCTAACCCCTAGTAGCCACAAGGAGTAAGCCCATAAGCTCTAACCCCCAGTAACCACAATGAGTAAGCCCACAAGCTCTAACCCCTAGTAGTCACAATGAGTTAGCCCACAAGCTCTAACCCCTAGTAGCCACAATGAGTAAGTCCACAAGCTCTAACCCCTAGTAACCACAATGAGTAAGCCCACAAGCTGACCCCTAGTAGCCACAAGGAGTAAGCCCACAAGCTGACCCCTAGTAGCCACAATGAGTAAGTCCACAAGCTCTAACCCCTAGTAGCCACAATGAGTAATCCTACAAGCTGACCCCTAGTAACCACAATGAGTAAGCCCACAAGCTAACCCCTAGTATCCACAATTAGTAGCCCACAAGCTCTAACCCCTAGTATCCACAATGAGTAGCCCACAAGCTAACTCCTAGTAGCCACAATGAGTAAGCCCACAAGCTAACCCCTAGTAACCACAATGAGTAAGCCCACAAGCTGACCCCTAGTATCCACAATGAGTAAGCCCACAAGCTAACCCCTAGTAACCACAATGAGTAAGCCCACAAACTGACCCCTAGTATCCACAATGAGTAAGCCAACAAGCTCTAACCCCTAGTAACCACAATGAGTAGCCCACAAGCTCTAACCCCTAGTAGCCACAATGAGTAAGCCCACAAGCTCTAACCCCCTAGTAGCCACAATGAGTAAGCCCACAAGCTCTAACCCCTAGTAGCCACAATGAGTAAGCCCACAAGCTCTAACCCCTAGTAGCCACAATGAGTAAGCCCACAAGCTCTAACCCCTAGTAGCCACAATGAGAGCCCACAAGCTCTAACCCCTAGTAGCCACAATGAGTAAGCCCACAAGCTCTAACCCCTAGTAGCCACAATGAGTAAGCCCACAAGCTCTAACCCCTAGTAGCTACAAATAGTAAGCCCACAAGCTCTAACCCCTAATAGCCACAATGAGTAAGCCCACAAGCTCTAACCCCTAGTAGCCACAATGAGTAAGCCCACAAGCTCTAACCCCTAGTAGCCACAATGAGTAAGCCCACAAGCTCTAACCCCTAGTTACACTACACCATACACTACACTATACACTACACTATACACTACAATACACCATACACTACACCATACACTACACTATACACTACAATACACCATACACTACACTATACACTACACTACACACTACACTATACACTACATACACTACACCATACACTACACTATACACTACACTATACACTACACACTACACTATACACTACACTATACACTACACTATACACTACAATACACCATACACTTCACTATACACTACACTATACCATACACTATACACTACACTATACACTACACTACACCATACACTACACCATACACTACACCATACACTACACTATACACTACACTATACACTACACCATACACTACACTATACATTGCACTATACACTACAATACACCATACACTACACACTACACTATACACTACACTATACACTACACTACACTATACACTACACTATACACTATACACTACACCATACACTACACGCTAAACTACACTACACCATACACTACACTATACACTACAACATACACTACACTATACACTACACCATACACTATACACTACACTATACACTACAATACACCATACACTACAATACACCATACACTACACCGTACACTAAACTATGCACTACAATACACCATACACTACACCATACACTACACTATACACTACACCATACACTACACTATACACTACACTATACACTACAATACACCATACACTACACCATACACTACACCACACACTACACTATACACTACACTATACACTACACCATACACTACACTATACACTACAATACACCATACACTACACTATACACTACACCATACACTACACCATACACTACACTATACACTGTACACTACATCAGCAGTGTTAACGCTACCACCACCATCAACATTGCCATCGTTACAAAGAGCATCACCATTATTCCCGTGTGTCCCCCGTGTCTCTCTCCGTGTCTCTCTCCGTGTCTCCCCCCGTGTCTCCCCCCGTGTCTCTCCCCGTGTCTCCCCCGTGTCTCCCCCCGTGTCTCTCCCCGTGTCTCCCCCCGTGTCTCCCGGTGTCTCTCCCCGTGTCTCTCTCCGTGTCTCTCCCCGTGTCTCACCTCTCCCCCCGTGTCTCTCCCCGTGTCTCCCCCCGTGTCTCCCGGTGTCTCTCCCCGTGTCTCTCCCCGTGTCTCCCCCCGTGTCTCCCGGTGTCTCTCCCCGTGTCTCTCCCCGTGTCTCTCCCCGTGTATCTCCCCGTGTCTCTCCCCGTGTGTCTCCACGTGTCTCTCCCCGTGTGTCTCCCCGTGTCTCTCCCCGTGTGTCTCCCCGTGTCTCCCGGTGTCTCTCCCCGTGTCTCTCCCCGTGTGTCTCCCCGTGTGTCTCCATGAAAGTTTTGCGTCTTGAACCGCAAATTCCGTAGGTCAGAGTCGTTCATCTGGAGAGACGCAGACACGCGCCTGAGTTACACACCTGAGTGAATGAGTGGTGAGTGTATGAGTGAGTGGTGAGTGAGTGTATGAGTGAGTGTATGAGTGAGTGAGTGGTGAATGAGTGTATGAGTGAGTGAGTGTATGAGTGAGTGAGTGTATGAGTGAGTATATGAGTGAGTGTATGAGTGAGTGAGTGTAAGAGTGTGTGAGTGAGTGAGTGTATGAGTGAGTTGTTTGAGTGAGTGAGTGTATGAGTGAGTGTAAGAGTGTGTGAGTGAGTGAGTGTATGAGTGAGTGAGTGTATGAGTGAGTGTAAGAGTGAGTGAGTGTATGAGTGAGTGAGTGTATGAGTGAGTGTATGAGTGAGTGTTTGAGTGAGTGTATGAGTGAGTGAGTGTATGAGTGAGTGTATGAGTGAGTGTATGAGTGAGTGTATGAGTGAGAGTATGAGTGAGTGTATGAGTGAGTGAGTGTATGAGTGAGTGAGTCTATGAGTGAGTGAGTGAGTGTATGAGTGAGTGTATGAGTGAGTGTATGAGTGAGTGAGTGAGTGTAAGAGTGAGTGAGTGAGTGTAAGAGTGAGTGAGTGTATGAGTGAGTGAGTGTATGAGTGAGTGAGTGTATGAGTGAGTGTATGAGTGAGTGTAAGAGTGAGTGAGTGAGTGTATGAGTGAGTGAGTGTAACAGTGAGTGAGTGAGTGTAAGAGTGAGTGAGTGAGTGTATGAGTGTATGAGTGAGTGAGTGTGTGAGTGACTGCCTGACCATGCACACCTGTGTGCCCCTTGGGATATGCTTGGGTACATCTCGATGAGATCCCTGAGTAGCCGTGCCGTCTGTTTCTCCAGTAGGTCGGTGTGGAACAGAGCCGGGATGAAGATGGTCACAAGGTTCTCCACTGGCATCCGGTTCTGGCTGGAGTAGAGCTGAACCCTGAACAGAGATTGACCACCCCACCACAAAAAAATATAAAGACAAAGATCCCCCGTGTAGCCTGTCACAGACTGTGGGGGCAAAGTGCTGTTAGCGAGCGGCGGCTATGTGAGCGAGTGTGTGTGAGTGTGTCTGTGTGTCTGTGCGTGTGTGTGTCTGTGTGTGTGTCTGTGTGTGTGTGTCTGTGAGTATGTGTGTGTGTCTCTGTGTCATCTGTAAGATGCGCCTGCCATTCTTCCACTCCGGTGGTGGGTGTACACCCAGGACCCCATTCCGACCTAAAGTGGCCTGGTCTCAGTTATCTGATGAAAGTTGCAAGCGAGAATTTCATCATCGCTTGCGGCTGGGATTGGCATCGTCCCCGACTCCTCCTGATGTCGAGGGTAAATGGGCGAGGTTTAGGACTGTGACTCATGCAGCTGCAATGGCTGCTTTGGGTACGCGGTCCAGACCTCCCCAGAGATCCTGGCTGACAGAGGAGGTGTTCAGGATGGTTGAGAAAAAGCGACAGGCCCACTGTCATCGGCTACAGAATCCCACGTCAGAGAATGAGGAGGCTTACCGCAGCCTTCGCTCGGAGGTTCCGAGAGCCGTGAGGCGCTGCAAGGATGGGTGGTGGTCGCGGGTTGCTGAGGAGATGGAGTCTGCCTCAGTGGCCCGCGATCACAAATCTCTATTTAACTCCATCAAAAAAGTAACCTGCAGCACCACACCTATTACCATCATTAGGGGAAAAAACGGTGATCCAATCTCCGACCCCCAGGAACAGTTTTGCAGATTTTCTGAGCATTTTTGTGAGGTCCTGGGGGAGGGGAAATCCCTCAGCCAGGAAAACATCGTGGCACAAAGTGGGGATGACCCTGCTGAGGCTGCGGTGCCTCAAATATTGGAAAAAGTCACCTCCTGTGAGTGGCTGGCTGAGGTGCCATCTGTTGAGGAAGTACTGAAGGCGATCTGGAGTCTGAGACCAGGAAAGGCACCGGGCAGAGATGATTTCCCAAGCGAAATGCTGAGGGAGGGTGGCGTTTGTGCACAGACTGCCCTATATGACATCATAACAACACTCTGGACCACTGGACGGGTTCCGCAGGATTGGAAGGATGCCCTGGTGGTCCCCCACTTTAAGAAGGGGACCGCACAGACTGTAACAACTACAGGGGCATCTCACTCCTCAGTGTGCCGGGAAAGGTCCTGGCAAGGATTATTCAACATTGCCTTGCCAGGCACGCTGAGGAGAGGCTTGCGGAGCCCCAATGCAGTTTCAGGAAAGGGCGGTCCTGCTCAGATGTCTTTTTTTCTGTCCGTCTGCTACAGCAGAGGTGTAGGGAATTCCAGCAAGACCTACATCTCTGCTTTATTGACCTGGTCAACGCCTATGATACCATCAGTAGGCCTGGGCTCTGGGTTGTTCGTCATGCTTTTGGAGTCCCTGACCCTCTGCTCACGATCATTAAGGACCTTCATGATGGTGAGCGGGCCCGGGTAAAATTACGTGGCCGGGAGTCAGAGCCATTCCCTGTACACCTTGGGGTGCGACAGGGATGTCCTCTGGCTCCCACATTACTTAACATCTATTTAAACCACGTAGTTCATGAAGCCTTCAATAGCTGTACCGGGGGAATCTCCATATGGTACAGATATAATGGGAGGCTGATCGATGCCCGGGTGCGGTCAAGGGATGGCTCCCTATTGCTCACCCATGTTATGTATGCCGATGATTTGGTAATAGCTGCTCATTCGGAGGAGGAGTTGGAGACGCTGCTGCTGAGACTGGAGCATGCCACTAAGAGATGGGGCCTTACCATCAGCCCCACCAAGACTAAGCACCTGCCTGGGTATTTTGTACCATCGGACACTCCACCCCCACAACTCCCAATCGGTGATGAGGCAGTTGTGGAGAGAGTGGAGAGTTTCCCATACCTGGGCAGTGTGCTTATGACTGACTCCAGTTTAACAGCAGAGGTCTCACTCCGAATCAGTCGAGCGGCAATATCTTTTCATCGGTTGCGTAACGCTGTGTGGAAGCTACCTGGTCTGTCGCTCCGCACTAAGCTTCAGGTCTTCTCGGCCACGGTCATTCCCTCCCTTCTCTACGCTTGCGAAACGTGGACCCCCCTAATGGAACATCTTCGCCGGTTAGAAACATTTAGGCTGGCCTGCCTATGATCCATCCTGGGTTTAACCAGACTGGATTGTGTGAGGAGCTCACAAATCCTGGAAAGATCTGGGCAGGGTCCCATCGGTGAGCTCCTCCGGCAGGCAAGGCTGCGATGGCTGGGTCATGTAGCCCGCATGCCCAGCCACCGCATGCCGAAACAGCTTTTGTTTGGCAGGATTGAGGGGGCTAAGCGGGCGCGGCACGGGCTAGAGAAGAGATGGGAGTGATGTGGTACAGGAGGACGTGGAGCTGAGTGGACTTGCCGATGACTGGTACCAGCGGTGTCAAGATCGGCCTCTGTGGAGGAGGCTCGTGAAGGATGCTACTGGGCAGTTGGAGGCAGTCGCCCTCCAACAACAACGGAGGGCGGAGGAGCGACGCTCACAACAACGAGCGGAGCGCCGGGTGGCTAAAGCACAGCAGGTTGGCACAGTAGGGGGCACAGGTGGTGCATCAGCCAGTCATCTCAGTCAGTCGACCCGTGGCACCTGGGTCTGCCCCGTGACCTCCTGCCAGCGGGCGTTCGACACTTCACGTGGCCTCACGGTGCACATAGCCTGGCACAAGCGTCGTGGTGACGTCACCGCCACTTAGTGGCGAATGGCGGTTGTTGTTGTTGTTGTGTGTGTACACGTGTGTGTGTGTACACGTGTGTGTGTACACGTGTGTGTGTGTGTGTACACGTGTGTGTGTGTACACGTGTGTGTACACGTGTGTGTGTGTGTACACGTGTGTGTGTGTACACGTGTGTTTGTGTACACGTGTGTGTGTAGACGTGTGTGTGTGTACACGTGTGTGTGTACACGTGTGTGTGTACACGTGTGTGTGTGTGTGTACACGTGTGTGTACACGTGTGTGTGTGTGTACACGTGTGTGTACACGTGTGTGTGTGTACACGTGTGTGTGTACACGTGTGTGTGTGTACACGTGTGTGTGTTTGTGTACACGTGTGTGTGTGTACACGTGTGTGTGTACACGTGTGTGTGTGTACACGTGTGTGTGTACACGTGTCTGTGTGTGTACACGTGTGTGTGTGTACACGTGTGTGTGTACACGTGCGTGTGTGTGTGTACACGTGTGTGTGTGTGTACACGTGTGTGTGTGTACACGTGTGTGTGTTTGTGTACACGTGTGTGTGTACACGTGTGTGTGTACACGTGTGTGTGTACACGTGTGTGTGTGTGTACACCTGTGTGTGTGTGTACACGTGTGTGTGTACACGTGTGTGTGTGTACACTGTGTGTGTGTGTACACGTGTGTGTGTGTACACGTGTGTGTGTGTACACGTGTGTGTGTGTGTGTACACGTGTGTGTGTGTACACTGTGTGTGTGTGTACACGTGTGTGTGTACACGTGTGTGTGTACACGTGTGTTTGTGTGTGTACACGTGTGTGTGTACACGGGTGTGTGTGTGTGTACACGTGTGTGTGTGTACACTGTGCGTGTCTACTTGTGGAGGTGCTGTAGCAGGTAGTGTAGGGTGCTGCGCTGGGTGCTGGGTAGCGATGCGATCCTCTGCCTGTACTTGTCCGCCTTCACCTGGGGGTCAGCCTCACCTGTAGGGCACGAGGGTCAGAGGGGTCAACAGGTCAAGGCAGGGTCACCGGTCAAAGGAGTTCACGCGTTAGCTCCGTGGCGTGATGGGTCACGGGTCAGTCCGGTTGAACACCACTCCGACGTGGGAGAGACCCGTGGGTTGTGGCCTAACGTTGTGTTGACGTTCGGGTCTCAGCCTGCATGCAGTCAGCTCCGTCCGTCCGTCCATCTGCGGCGTGGAGTGACAGTAACTCGCTACCCGGGCCAAGGTGTAAACACCGCCACTGAGGGGGAGAGAGACAAAGGCGGCCGGGCGTGGTGGTGCTGGTGGTGGCCACCCACCCACCACCTCCGTGTGTGTGTGTGTAGCCACAGTGCCGGTAGCCTTCATTGACGCTGCTGCTGCTGCTGCTCGCTACTAACAGCACTTGCCCCTGCAGCCCTGCTAGAGGCTACCTGGGGGAGCTTTGTCTCTGTGTGTGTGTGTAACAGCACTTGCCCCTGCAGCCCTGCTAGAGGCTACCTGGGGGAGCTTTGTCTCTGTGTGTGTGTAACAGCACTTGCCCCTACAGCCTGCTAAAGGCTACCTGGGGGAGCTTTGTCTCTGTGTGTGTGTAACAGCACTTGCCCCAACAGCCCTGCTAGAGGCTACAAGGGGGAGCTTTGTCTGTGTGTGTGTAACAGCACTTGCCCCTACAGCCTGATAGAGGCTACCTGGGGGAGCTTTGTGTGTGTGTGTAACAGCACTTGCCCCTACGGCCTGCTAGAGGCTACACGGGGGAGCTTTGTCTCTGTGTCTGTGTGTAACTGCACTTGCCCCTGCAGCCCTGCTAGAGGCTACCTGGGGGAGCTTTGTCTGTGTCTGTGTGTAACAGCACTTGCCCCTAAAGCCCTGCTAGAGGCTACCTGGGGGAGCTTTGTCTGTCTGTGTGTAACAGCACTTGCCCCTGCAGCCCTGCTAGAGGCTACCTGGGGGAGCTTTGTCTGTGTCTGTGTGTAACAGCACTTGCCCCTGCAGCCCTGCTAGAGGCTACCTGGGGGAGCTTTGTCTCTGTGTGTAACAGCACTTGCCCCTACAGCCTGCTAGAGGCTACCTGGGGGAGCTTTGTCTTTGTGTGTAGTGTGTCTGTGTGTGAGTGATTGCACGAGTGAGTGCATGAGTGAGTATATGAGTGAGTGTATCAGTGAGTGATTGTATGAGTTAGTGTATGAGTGAGTGTATGAGTGTATGAGTGAGTGAGTGTATGAGTGAGTGAATGAGCGAGTGAGTGAATGAATGAGTGAATGAGCGAGTGAATGAATTAATTAATGAGTGAATGAGTGAACGAGCTCACGGGCCACGCTGGTCCACTCGCTCCCACTCGGGATCAAGGACGTCGGGGCCTGGCGCAGGATGGCCTTGAGCGCACTGGCCGCCAACTCCACGTTCCCCTGGCCGGGCTCCAGGACAGCCGAGCGGGGATCTGCCCAGAGCCTCTCCACAAGGGCTTCGGTGGCGCTGGCGACGCCGACGGTTCGGTACAGACCCTCACGCATCAGGCCTAGAGAGTCGCACACCGCACGCTACAATCGGTGACCCGGTGGCACGGTGACACAGTGACACAGTGATACAGTGACACAGTGACAGAGTGACACAGTGACAGAGTGACAGAGTGACACAGTGACACAGTGAGACAGTGACACAGTGACCCAGTGATACTGTGACACAGTGACAGAGTGACACAGTGACACAGTGACAGAGTGATACAGTGACACAGTGACAGAGTGACACAGAGACACAGTGACACAGTGACAGAGTGACACAGTGACACAGTGACAGAGTGACACAGTGACAGAGTGACAGAGTGACACAGTGACACAGAGACACAGTGACAGAGTGACAGAGTGACACAGTGACACAGTGAGACAGTGACACAGTGACCCAGTGATACTGTGACACAGTGACAGAGTGACACAGTGACACAGAGACACAGTGACACAGTGACAGAGTGACACAGAGACACAGTGACACAGAGTCACAGTGACACAGTGACACAGAGACACAGTGACACAGTGACAGAGTGACACAGTGACACAGTGACCCAGTGACAGAGTGACACAGAGACAGAGTGACACAGAGACACAGTGACACAGTGACAGAGTGACACAGTGACCCAGAGACACAGTGACACAGTGACACAGTGACAGAGTGATACAGTGACACAGTGATACAGTGACAGAGTGACACAGTGACCCAGTGACACAGTGACACAGTGATACAGTGACACAGAGACACAGTGACACAGTGACAGAGTGACACAGTGACACGGTGACACAGAGACACAGTGACACAGTGACAGTGACACAGTGACACAGTGACCCAGTGCCAGAGTGACACAGTGACACAGTGAGACAGTGACACAGTGACCCAGTGACACAGTGACCCAGTGACCCAGCGACACAGTGACACAGTGACACAGAGACACAGTGACAGTGACACAGTGACAGAGTGAGACATTGACACAGTGACACAGTGACAGAGTGACACAGTGACACAGTGACCCAGTGACAGAGTGACACAGTGACACAGTGAGACAGTGACACAGTGACCCAGTGACACAGTGACACAGTGACCCAGTGACCCAGCGACACAGTGACACAGAGACACAGTGACAGAGTGACACAGTGACACAGTGAGACAGTGACACAGTGACACAGTGAGACATTGACACAGTGACACAGTGACACAGAGACACAGTGAGACAGTGACACAGTCACACAGTGGCACAGAGACACAGTGATACAGTGACACAGTGACACAATGACACAGTGACACAATGACACAGTGACACAGTGACACAATGACAAAGTGACACAGTGACCCAGTGACACAGTGACACAGAGACACAGTGACACAGAGACACAGTGACACAGTGGCACAGTGACTCAGTGACAGAGTGACACAGTGACAGAGTGACCCAATGACACAGTACTTCACCCCAACCCACCCACCCCACCCACACCACCTACCCACACCACCCACTCCACCCACCCACACACCACCCACCCCAGCCACCCCACACCACCCACCCCACACACCCACCCACACCACCCACCCACCGTACCCACACCACCCACCCCACCCACCCCACACACCCACCCACACCACCCACCCACAAACCACCCCCCACCCCACCCACCCACCCACACCACCCACCCACACCACCCACCCCACCCACCCCACCCCACATACCCACCCACAAACCACCCACCCCACCCACACCATCCACCCACCGTACCCACACCACCCACTCCACCCACCCACCAACACACCACCCACACACCACCCACACACCCACCCACCCCACCCACCCCACACACCCACCCACACCACCCACCCACAAACCACCCACACCACCCACACCACCCCCCCCACCCACACCCCCCACCCCACCCACACCACCCACACCACCCACCCCACCCACACCACCCACCCCACCCACCGTACTGCTCCACGTGCTCCACGCACTTGGCGACGGCGAGCACGACGTCCTCGTCCGTGATTGGCTGCTGCGAGAGGGGCCGCCCGGCCCCGCCCCGCGCGGATTTGACCAATGAGGAGGCGCGGGCGGGGCCTAAGATCCCGGGCAGACGGATGCAGAGGGACCTGAAACAGAACGAACGGGAGATGTTGACTACCTTACCTGGTGCACAGGAGGTCGTGGGTTCCATGCTGAGATGTTGACTACCTCGCCTGATACACAGGAGGTCGTGGGTTCCACCACCACCATCATCACGGTGGCTATGAGATGTTGACTACCTCGCCTGGTACACAGGACATCGTGGGTTCCACCACCACCATCATCACGGTGGCTATGAGATGTTGACTACCTCGCAGGTACACAGGAGGTCGTGAGTTCCATGCTGAGATGTTGACTACCTCGCCTGGTACACAGGAGGTCGTGGGTTCCACCACCACCATCATCACGGTGGCTATGAGATGTTGACTACCTCGCCTGGTACACAGGAGGTCGTGGGTTCCACCACCACCATCATCACGGTGGCTATGAGATGTTGACTACCTCGCCTGGTACACAGGAGGTCGTGGGTTCCACCACCACCATCATCACGGTGGCTATGAGATGTTGACTACCTCGCCTGGTACACAGGACATCGTGGGTTCCACCACCACCATCATCACGGTGGCTATGAGATGTTGACTACCTCGCTGGTACACAGGAGGTCGTGAGTTCCATGCTGAGATGTTGACTACCTCGCCTGGTACACAGGAGGTCGTGGGTTCCACCACCACCATCATCACGGTGGCTATGAGATGTTGACTACCTCGCCTGGTACACAGGAGGTCGTGGGTTCCACCACCACCATCATCACGGTGGCTATGAGATGTTGACTACCTCGCCTGGTCCACAGGAGGTCGTGGGTTCCACCACCACCATCATCACGGTGGCTATGAGATGTTGACTACCTCGCCTGGTTCACAGGAGGTCGTGGGTTCCACCACCACCATCATCACGGTGGCTATGAGATGTTGACTACCTCGCCTGGTACACAGGAGATCGTGGGTTCCACCACCACCATCATCACGGTGGCTATGAGATGTTGACTACCTTGCTGGTACACAGGAGGTCGTGGGTTCCATGCTGAGATGTTGACTACCTCGCCTGGTACACAGGAGGTCGTGGGTTCCACCACCACCATCATCACGGTGGCTATGAGATGTTGACTACCTCGCCTGGTACACAGGAGGTCGTGGGTTCCACCACCACCATCATCACGGTGGCTATGAGATGTTGACTACCTCGCCAGGTACACAGGAGGTCGTGGGTTCCACCACCACCATCATCACGGTGGCTATGAGATGTTGACTACCTTGCTGGTACACAGGAGGTCGTGGGTTCCATGCTGAGATGTTGACTACCTCGCCTGGTACACAGGAGGTCGTGGGTTCCACCACCACCATCATCACGGTGGCTATGAGATGTTGACTACCTCGCCTGGTACACAGGAGATCGTGGGTTCCACCACCACCATCATCACGGTGGCTATGAGATGTTGACTACCTCGCCAGGTACACAGGAGGTCGTGGGTTCCACCACCACCATCATCACGGTGGCTATGAGATGTTGACTACCTCGCCTGGTACACAGGAGGTCGTGGGTTCCACCACCACCATCATCACGGTGGCTATGAGATGTTGACTACCTCGCCTGGTTCACAGGAGGTCGTGGGTTCCACCACCACCATCATCACGGTGGCTATGAGATGTTGACTACCTCGCCTGGTACACAGGACATCGTGGGTTCCACCACCACCATCATCACGGTGGCTATGAGATGTTGACTACCTCGCTGGTACACAGGAGGTCGTGAGTTCCATGCTGAGATGTTGACTACCTCGCCTGGTACACAGGAGGTCGTGGGTTCCACCACCACCATCATCACGGTGGCTATGAGATGTTGACTACCTCGCCTGGTACACAGGAGGTCGTGGGTTCCACCACCACCATCATCACGGTGGCTATGAGATGTTGACTACCTCGCCTGGTCCACAGGAGGTCGTGGGTTCCACCACCACCATCATCACGGTGGCTATGAGATGTTGACTACCTCGCCTGGTTCACAGGAGGTCGTGGGTTCCACCACCACCATCATCACGGTGGCTATGAGATGTTGACTACCTCGCCTGGTACACAGGAGATCGTGGGTTCCACCACCACCATCATCACGGTGGCTATGAGATGTTGACTACCTAGCTGGTACACAGGAGGTCGTGGGTTCCATGCTGAGATGTGCCATGCTGAGATGTTGACTACCTCGCCTGGTACACAGGAGGTCGTGGGTTCCACCACCACCATCATCACGGTGGCTATGAGATGTTGACTACCTCGCCTGGTACACAGGAGATCGTGGGTTCCACCACCACCATCATCACGGTGGCTATGAGATGTTGACTACCTCGCCAGGTACACAGGAGGTCGTGGGTTCCACCACCACCATCATCACGGTGGCTATGAGATGTTGACTACCTCGCCAGGTACACAGGAGGTCGTGGGTTCCACCACCACCATCATCACGGTGGCTATGACATGTTGACTACCTCGCCTGGTGCAAAGGAGGTCGTGGGTTCCACCACCACCATCATCACGGTGGCTATGAGATGTTGACTACCTCGCCTGGTACACAGGAGGTCGTGGGTTCCACCACCACCATCATCACGGTGGCTATGAGATGTTGACTACCTCGCCTGGTACACAGGAGGTCGTGGGTTCCACCACCACCATCATCACGGTGGCTATGAGATGTTGACTACCTCGCCTGGTGTACAGGAGGTCGTGGGTTCCACAACCATCATCATCACGGTGGCTATGAGATGTTGACTACCTCGCCTGGTACACAGGAGGTCGTGGGTTCCACCACCACCATCATCACGGTGGCTATGAGATGTTGACTACCTCGCCCGGTGCACAGGAGGTCGTGGGTTCCATGCTGAGATGTTGACTACCTCGCCTGGTACACAGGAGGTCGTGGGATCCATGCAGAGATGTTGACTACCTCGCCTGGTACACAGGAGGTCGTGGGTTCCATGCTGAGACGTTGACTACCTCGCCTGGTCCACAGGAGGTCGTGGGTTCCATGCTGAGATGTTGACTACCTCGCCTGGTACACAGGAGGTCGTGGGTTCCATGCTGAGATGTTGACTACCTCGCCTGGCACAAACGAGGTCGTGGGTTCAATGCTGAGATGTTGACTACCTCGCCTGGTACACAGGAGGTCGTGGGTTCAATGCTGAGACGTTGACTACCTCGCCTGGTGCACAGGAGGTCGTGGGTTCAATGCTGAGATGTTGACTACCTCGCCTGGTAACAGGAGGTCGTGGGTTCAATGCTGAGACCTTGACTACCTCGCCTGGTACACAGGAGGTCGTGGGTTCAATGCTGAGATGTTGACTACCTCGCCTGGTACACAGGAGGTCGTGGGTTCAATGCTGAGACGTTGACTACCTCGCCTGGTATACAGGAGGTCGTGGGTTCCATGCTGAGATGTTGACTACCTCGCATGGTGTACAGGAGGTCGTGGGTTCTACGTTGAGATGTTGACTACCTCACCTGGTACACAGCAGGTCGTGGGTTCCATGCTGAGATGTTGACTACCTCGCCTGGTACAGAGGAGGTCGTGGGTTCCATGCTGAGATGTTGACTACCTCGCCTGGTGCACAGGAGGTCGTGGGTTCCATGCTGAGATGTTGACTACCTCGCCTGGTGTACAGGAGGTCGTGGGTTCCATGCTGAGATGTTGACTACCTCGCCTGGTACAGAGGAGGTCGTGGGTTCCATGCTGAGATGTTGACTACCTCGCCTGGTACAGAGGAGGTCATGGGTTCCATGCTGAGATGTTGACTACCTTGCCTGGTGCACAGGAGGTCGTGGGTTCCATGCTGAGACGTTGACTACCTCGCCTGATACACAAGAGGTCGTGGGTTCCACCACCACCATCATCACGGTGGCTATGAGATGTTGACTACCTCGCCTGGTACACAGGAGGTCGTGGGTTCCATGCTGAGACGTTGACTACCTCGCCAGGTACACAGGAGGTCGTGGGTTCAATGCTGAGATGTTGACTACCTCGCCTGGTGTACAGGAGGTCGTGGGTTCCACGTTCAGATGTTGACTACCTCGCCTGGTACACATGAGGTCGTGGGTTCCATGCTGAGACGTTGACTACCTCGCCTGGTACACAGGAGGTCGTGGGTTCCACGCTGAGACGTTGACTACCTTGCCCGGTGTGCAGGAGGTCGTGGGTTCCATGCTGAGATGTTAAGTACCTCGCCTTATACACAGGAGGTCGTGGGTTCCATGCTGATATGTTGACTACCTCGCCTGGTGTACAGGAGGTCGTGGGTTCCACGCTGAGATGTTGACTACCTGGCTTGGTCTACAGGAGGTCGTGGGTTCCACGCTGAGACGTTGACTACCTCGCCTGGTGTACAGGAGGTCGTGGGTTACACGCTGAGATGTTGACTACCTCGCCTGGTGTACAGGAGGTCGTGGGTTCCATGCTGAGATGTTGACTACCTCGCCTGGTGCACGGGAGATCGTGGGTTCCACAGCTGAGATGTTGACTACCTCGCCTGGTGTACAGGAGGTCGTGGGTTCCACGTTGAGATGTTGACTACCTCGCCTGGTGTACAGGAGGTCGTGGGTTCCACGTTGAGATGTTGACTACCTCGCCTGGTACACAGGAGGTCGTGGGTTCCATGCTGAGATGTTGACTACCTCGCCTGGTGTACAGGAGGTCATGGGTTCCACGCTGAGATGTTGACTACCTCGCCTGGTACACAGGAGGTCGTGGGTTCGATGTTGAGATGTTGACTACCTCGCCTGGTGTACAGGAGGTCGTGGGTTACACGCTGAGATGTTGACTACCTCGCCTGGTGTACAGGAGGTCGTGGGTTCCATGCTGAGATGTTGACTACCTCGCCTGGTACACAGGAGGTCGTGGGTTCCACGCTGAGATGTTGACTACCTCGCCTGGTACACAGGAGGTCGTGGGTTCCATGTTGAGACGTTGACTACCTCGCCTGGTGTACAGGAGGTCGTGGGTTCCATGCTGAGACGTTGACTACCTCGCCTGGTTCACAGGAGGTCGTGGGTTCCATGCTGAGACGTTGACTACCTCGCCTGGTACACAGGAGGTCGTGGGTTCAACGCTGAGATGTTGACTACCTCGCCTGGTGTACAGGAGGTCGTGGGTTCCACCACCACCATCATCACGGTGGCTATGAGATGTTGACTATCTCGCCTGGTACACAGAAGGTCGTGGGTTCCATGCTGAGACGTTGACTATCTCGCCTGGTACGCAGGAGGTCGTGGGTTCCATGCTGAGATGTTGACTACCTCGCCTGGTACACAGGAAGTCGTGGGTTCCATGCTGAGATGTTGACTACCTCGCCTGATGTACAGGAGGTCGTGGGTTCCACGCTGACATGTTGACTACCTCGCCTGTTCTACAGGAGGTCGTGGGTTCCACGCTGAAATGTTGACTACCTCGCCTGGTTTACAGGAGGTCGTGGGTTCCACGCTGAGACGTTGACTACCTCGCTTGGTACACAGGAGGTCGTGGGTTCCATGCTGAGATGTTGACTACCTCGCGTGGTACACAGGAGGTCGTGGGTTCCATGCTGAGATGTTGACTACCTCGCCTGGTACACAGGAGGTCGTGGGTTCCACGCCGAGATGTTGACTACCTCGCCTGGTACACAGGAGGTCGTGATCTCCATGCGTCACTTTGTTCGTCTATGGGTCTCTATGGGTGTCCCCCTGCGTGACCCCACCGTGACCCCAGCGTGACCCCACCGTGACCCCACCGTGACCCCAGCGTGACCCCAGCGTGACCCCGAAGAGTGACTTCTCACAGCCTCACCAGTTCCTGTCCACGAGCCTGATCGAGGTGTCCGGCTTCGCTCGGCTGCCCTCGCTGCTCACGCCTGTGCAGACAGATGGACACACGGAGCGACATGCCAACAACACGCGTGTGTGTGTGTGCGTGTAAAAACAGAGACCCACAGAGACCCACATAGACCCACAGATACCCACAAAGACCCACAGAGACCCAGACAGACCCACAGAGACCCACAGAGACCCAGACAGACCCACAGAGACCCACAGAGACCCACAGAGCCCTACATAGACCCACATAGACCCATACAGACCCACAGAGACCCACAAAAACCCACAGAGACCCACAGATACCCACAAAGACCCACAGAGACCCACAGATACCCACAAAGACCCACAGATACCTACAAAGACCCACATAGACCCACAGAGACCTACATAGACCCACATAGACCCATACAGACCCACAGAGACCCACATAGACATACAGAGACCCACAAAGACCGACAGAGACCCACAGAGACCCACAGAGACCCACAGAGACCCATACAGACCCACGTAGACCCACAAAGACCTGCATAGACGTACAGACACCCACAAACACCCACAGACACCCACAAAGACCCACGGAGATCCACCGAGACCTACACAGACCTACACAGACCTACACAGACCCACAAACCCACAGAGACCCATACAGACCCATACAGACCCACAGAGACCCACAGACACCCACAGAGACCCACAGAGACCCACAAAGACCCACAGAGACCCACACACACCCATAGAGACCCACAGACACCCACAGAGACCCACAGACATCCACAGACAGCCACAGAGACCAACAGACATCCACAGACACCCACAGAGACCGACTGAGACCCACAAAGACCCACAGAGACCCACACACACCCATAGAGACCCACAGACACCCACAGAGACCCACAGACATCCACAGACACCCACAGAGACCCACAGACACCCACAGAGACCCACAGAGACCCACAAAGACCCACAGAGACCCACACACACCCATAGAGACCCACATACACCCACAGAGACCCACAGACATCCACAGACACCCACAGAGACCCACAGACACCCACAGAGACCCACAGACATCCACAGACACCCACAGAGACCCACAGACATCCACAGACACCCACAGAGACCCACAGACACCCACAGAAACCCACAGACATCCACAGACACCCACAGAGACCCACTGAGACCCACAGAGACCCACAGACACCCACAGACACCCACAGAGACACACAGAGACCCACAGAGACACACAGAGACCCACAACACCACAGAGACGCACAGAGACCCACAGAAACACACAGAGACCTACAAAGACACACAGAGACCCACAGAGACCCATATAGAGACCCACAGAGACCCACAGAGACACACAGAGACCCACAGAGACTCAGCGAGACCCACATAGACCCACAGAGACACACAGAGACCCACAAACCCACAGAGACCCACAGAGACCCATAGAGACCCACAGAGACCCACAGAGACCCACAAACCCACAGACACCCACAGAGATCCACAGAGACACACAGAGACCCACAAACCCACAGACACCCACAGAGACCCACAAAGACACACAGAGACCCACAGAAATCCACAGAGACACACAGAGACCCACAGAAACCCACAGAGACCAACAAACCCACAGAGACCCACAGAAATCCACAGAGACACACAGACACCCACAGAGACTCACAGAGATCCACAGAGACCCACCGAGATCCACAAACCCTCATAGACCCACAGGGACCAACAGAGACCCATAGAGACCCATAGAGACCCACAAACCCACAGAGACCCACAGAGACCCACAGAGACCACAGAGACCCACAGAGACCCACATAGACCCACAGAGACCCCAGAGACCACAGAGAACCCAGAGACCCAGAGAGACACACAGAGACCGACAGAGACCCACGAAGACCCACAGAGATCCCAGAGACCAACAGAGACCCACAGAGACCCACGGAGACCCACACAGACCCACACAGACCCACAAACCCACAGAGACCCGCATAGACCCACAGACACCCACAAAGACCCATAGTCACCTAAAAAAGACCCACAGAGACCCACCGAGACCTACATAGACCCACACAGACCCACAAACCCACAGAGATCCATACAGACCCATACAAACCCACGTAGACCCACAAAGACCCACAGAGACTCACAGAGACCCAAAAAGACCCACAGAGACCCACACACACCCACAAAGACCAACAGACACCCACAGAGACCCACAGACACCCACAGAGACCCACAGACACCCACAGAGACCCACCGAGACCCACAGAGACCCACAGACACCCACAGACACCCACAGAGACCCACAGAGACCCACAGAGACACACAGAGACCCACAGAGACACACAGAGACCTACAAAGACACAGAGACCCACAGAGAATCAGAGAGACCCACATAGACCCACAGAGACCCACAGAGACCCACAAACCCATAGAGATCCACAGAGACCCACAAACCCACAGATACCCACAGAGACCCACATAGACCCACAGAGACACACAGAGACCCACAAACCCACAGAGACCCACAGAGACCCATAGAGACCCACAGAGACCCACAGAGACCCACAGAGACCCATAGAGACCCACAGAGACACACAGAGACCCACAAACCCACAGACACCCACAGAGACCCACAAAGACACACAGAGACCCACAGAAATCCACAGAGACACACAGAGACCCACAGAAACCCACAGAGACCAACAAACCCACAGAGACCCACAGAAATCCACAGAGACACACAGACACCCACAGAGACTCACAGAGATCCACAGAGACCCACCGAGATCCACAAACCCTCATAGACCCACAGGGACCAACAGAGACCCATAGAGACCCATAGAGACCCACAAACCCACAGAGACCCACAGAGACCCACAGAGATCCACAAACCTACAGAGACCCACAGAGACCCACATAGACCCACAGAGACCCACAGAGACCCACAAACCCAGAGACCTACAGAGACCCATAGAGACACACAGAGACCCACAGAGACCCACACAGACCCACCGAGAACCACAGACACCCACAGAGACCCAGAGACCCACGGAGACCCACACAGACCCACAAACCCACAGAGACCCGCATAGACCCACAGACACCCACAAAGACCCATAGTCACCTAAAAAAGACCCACAGAGACCCACCGAGACCTACATAGACCCACACAGACCCACAAACCCACAGAGATCCATACAGACCCATACAAACCCACGTAGATCCACAAAGACCCACAGAGACCCACAGAGACCCAAAAAGACCCACAGAGACCCACACACACCCACAGAGACCCACAGACACCCACAGAGACCCACAGACACCCACAGAGACCCACCGAGACCCACAGAGACCCACAGACACCCACAGACACCCACAGAGACCCACAGAGACCCACAGAGACACACAGAGACCCACAGAGACACACAGAGACCTACAAAGACACAGAGACCCACAGAGAATCAGAGAGACCCACATAGACCCACAGAGACCCACAGAGACCCACAAACCCATAGAGATCCACATAGACCCACAGAGACCTACATAGACCCACATAGACCCATACAGACCCACAGAGACCCACATAGACATACAGAGACCCACAAAGACCGACAGAGACCCACAGAGACCCACAGAGACCCACAGAGACCCATACAGACCCACGTAGACCCACAAAGACCTGCATAGACGTACAGACACCCACAAACACCCACAGACACCCACAAAGACCCACGGAGACCCACATAGACCCACAGATACCCACAAAGACCCACAGAGACCCAGACAGACCCACAGAGACCCACAGAGACCCAGACAGATCCACAGAGACCCACAGAGACCCACAGAGCCCTACATAGACCCACATAGACCCATACAGACCCACAGAGACCCACAAAAACCCACAGAGACCCACAGATACCCACAAAGACCCACAGAGACCCACAGATACCCACAAAGACCCACAGATACCTACAAAGACCCACATAGACCCACAGAGACCTACATAGACCCACATAGACCCATACAGACCCACAGAGACCCACATAGACATACAGAGACCCACAAAGACCGACAGAGACCCACAGAGACCCACAGAGACCCACAGAGACCCATACAGACCCACGTAGACCCACAAAGACCTGCATAGACGTACAGACACCCACAAACACCCACAGACACCCACAAAGACCCACGGAGACCCACCGAGACCTACTCAGACCTACACAGACCTACACAGACCCACAAACCCACAGAGACCCATACAGACCCATACAGACCCACAGAGCCCCACAGACACCCACAGAGACCCACAGAGACCCACAAAGACCCACAGAGACCCACACACACCCATAGAGACCCACAGACACCCACAGAGACCCACAGACATCCACAGACACCCACAGAGACCAACAGACATCCACAGACACCCACAGAGACCGACTGAGACCCACAAAGACCCACAGAGACCCACACACACGCATAGAGACCCACAGACACCCACAGAGACCCACAGACATCCACAGACACCCACAGAGACCCACAGACACCCACAGAGACCCACAGAGACCCACAAAGACCCACAGAGACCCACACACACCCATAGAGACCCACAGACACCCACAGAGACCCACACACATCCACAGACACCCACAGAGACCCACAGACATCCACAGACACCCACAGAGACCCACTGAGACCCACAAAGACCCACAGAGACCCACACACACCCATAGAGACCCACAGACACCCACAGAGACCCACAGACATCCACAGACACCCACAGAGACCCACAGACACCCACAGAGACCCACAGACATCCACAGACACCCACAGAGACCCACAGACATCCACAGACACCCACAGAGACCCACAGACACCCACAGAAACCCACAGACATCCACAGACACCCACAGAGACCCACTGAGACCCACAGAGACCCACAGACACCCACAGACACCCACAGAGACACACAGAGACCCACAGAGACACACAGAGACCCACAACACCACAGAGATGCACAGAGACCCACAGAAACACACAGAGACCTACAAAGACACACAGAGACCCACAGAGACCCATATAGAGACCCACAGAGACCCACAGAGACACACAGAGACCCACAGAGACTCAGCGAGACCCACATAGACCCACAGAGACACACAGAGACCCACAAACCCACAGAGACCCACAGAGACCCATAGAGACCCACAGAGACCCACAGAGACCCACAAACCCACAGACACCCACAGAGATCCACAGAGACACACAGAGACCCACAAACCCACAGACACCCACAGAGACCCACAAAGACACACAGAAATCCACAGAGACACACAGAAACCCACAGAGACCAACAAACCCACAGAGACCCACAGAAATCCACAGAGACACACAGACACCCACAGAGACTCACAGAGATCCACAGAGACCCACCGAGATCCACAAACCCTCATAGACCCACAGGGACCAACAGAGACCCATAGAGACCCATAGAGACCCACAAACCCACAGAGACCCACAGAGACCCACAGAGATCCACAAACCTACAGAGACCCACAGAGACCCACATAGACCCACAGAGACCCACAGAGACCCACAAACCCAGAGACCTACAGAGACCCATAGAGACACACAGAGACCCACAGAGACCCACAAAGACCCACCGAGAACCACAGACACCCACAGAGACCCACAGAGACCCACGGAGACCCACACAGACCCACAAACCCACAGAGACCCGCATAGACCCACAGACACCCACAAAGACCCATAGTCACCTAAAAAAGACCCACAGAGACCCACCGAGACCTACATAGACCCACACAGACCCACAAACCCACAGAGATCCATACAGACCCATACAAACCCACGTAGACCCACAAAGACCCACAGAGACCCACAGAGACCCAAAAAGACCCACAGAGACCCACACACACCCACAAAGACCAACAGACACCCACAGAGACCCACAGACACCCACAGAGACCCACAGACACCCACAGAGACCCACAGAGACCCACCGAGACCCACAGACACCCACAGACACCCACAGAGACCCACAGAGACCCACAGAGACACACAGAGACCCACAGAGACACACAGAGACCTACAAAGACACAGAGACCCACAGAGAATCAGAGAGACCCACATAGACCCACAGAGACCCACAGAGACCCACAAACCCATAGAGATCCACAGAGACCCACAAACCCACAGATACCCACAGAGACCCACATAGACCCACAGAGACACACAGAGACCCACAAACCCACAGAGACCCACAGAGACCCATAGAGACCCACAGAGACCCACAGAGACCCACAAACCCACAGACACCCACAGAGATCCACAGAGACACACAGAGACCCACAAACCCACAGACACCCACAGAGACCCACAAAGACACACAGAGACCCACAGAAATCCACAGAGACACACAGAGACCCACAGAAACCCACAGAGACCAACAAACCCACAGAGACCCACAGAAATCCACAGAGACACACAGACACCCACAGAGACTCACAGAGATCCACAGAGACCCACCGAGATCCACAAACCCTCATAGACCCACAGGGACCAACAGAGACCCATAGAGACCCATAGAGACCCACAAACCCACAGAGACCCACAGAGACCCACAGAGATCCACAAACCTACAGAGACCCACAGAGACCCACATAGACCCACAGAGACCCACAGAGACCCACAAACCCAGAGACCTACAGAGACCCATAGAGACACACAGAGACCCACAGAGACCCACAAAGACCCACCGAGAACCACAGACACCCACAGAGACCCACAGAGACCCACGGAGACCCACACAGACCCACAAACCCACAGAGACCCGCAAAGACCCACAGACACCCACAAAGACCCATAGTCACCTAAAAAAGACCCACAGAGACCCACCGAGACCTACATAGACCCACACAGACCCACAAACCCACAGAGATCCATACAGACCCATACAAACCCACGTAGACCCACAAAGACCCACAGAGACCCACAGAGACCCAAAAAGACCCACAGAGACCCACACACACCCACAAAGACCAACAGACACCCACAGAGACCCACAGACACCCACAGAGACCCACAGACACCCACAGAGACCCACCGAGACCCACAGAGACCCACAGACACCCACAGACACCCACATAGACCCACAGAGACCCACAGAGACACACAGAGACCCACAGAGACACACAGAGACCTACAAAGACACAGAGACCCACAGAGAATCAGAGAGACCCACATAGACCCACAGAGACCCACAGAAATCCACAGAGACCCACCGAGATCCACAAACCCTCATAGACCCACAGGGACCAACAGAGACCCATAGAGACCCATAGAGACCCACAAACCCACAGAGACCCACAGAGACCCACAGAGATCCACAAACCTACAGAGACCCACAGAGACCCACAGAGACCCACATAGACCCACAGAGACCCACAGAGACCCACAAACCCAGAGACCTACAGAGACCCATAGAGACACACAGAGACCCACAGAGACCCACAAAGACCCACCGAGAACCACAGACACCCACAGAGACCCACAGAGACCCACAGAGACCCACACAGACCCACAAACCCACAGAGACCCGCATAGACCCACAGACACCCACAAAGACCCATAGTCACCTAAAAAAGACCCACAGAGACCCACCGAGACCTACATAGACCCACACAGACCCACAAACCCACAGAGATCCATACAGACCCATACAAACCCACGTAGACCCACAAAGACCCACAGAGACCCACAGAGACCCAAAAAGACCCACAGAGACCCACACACACCCACAAAGACCAACAGACACCCACAGAGACCCACAGACACCCACAGAGACCCACAGACACCCACAGAGACCCACCGAGACCCACAGAGACCCACAGACACCCACAGACACCCACAGAGACCCACAGAGACCCACAGAGACACACAGAGACCCACAGAGACACACAGAGACCTACAAAGACACAGAGACCCACAGAGAATCAGAGAGACCCACATAGACCCACAGAGACCCACAGAGACCCACAAACCCATAGAGATCCACAGAGACCCACAAACCCACAGATACCCACAGAGACCCATAGAGACCCACAGAGACACACAGAGACCCACAACCCCACAGAGACCCACAGAGATCCACAGAGACACACAGAGACCCACAGAGACCTACAGCGATCCACAAATCCTCATAGACCCACAGGGACCAACAGAGACCCACAGAGACCCACAGAGACCCACAAACCCACAGAGACCCACTGAGACCCACAAACCCACAGAGACCCACAGAGATCCACAAACCCTCATAGACCCACAGGGACCAACAGAGACCCATAGAGACCCATAGAGATCCACAAACCCACAGAGACCCACAGAGACCCACAGAGACCTGTAAAGACCCACAGACACCCACAGAGACCCACAGAGACCCACATAGACCCACAGACACCCACAAAGACCCACAGAGACCCAGAGACCCACAGAGACCCATACAGAACCACGTAGACCCACAAAGACCCACAGAGACCCACAGAGACCTATACAGACCCACGTAGACCAACAAAGACCCGCATAGACCCACAGACACCCACAAAGACCCACAGACACCCACAGAGACCCACCGAGACTCACATAGACCCACACAGACCCACAAACCCACAGAGACCTGCATAGACCCACAGACACCCACATAGACCCACAGACACCCACAAAGACCCACAGACACCCACAAAGACCCACAGAGACCCAGAGACCCACAGAGACCCATACAGAACCACGTAGACCCACAAAGACCCACAGAGACCCACAGAGACCCACGTAGACCAACAAAGACCCGCATAGACCCACAGACACCCACAAAGACCCACAGACACCCACAAAGACCCACAGAGACCCACAGACACCCACAAAGACCCACAGAGACCCACCGAGACCTACATAGACCCACACAGATCCACAAACCCACAGAGACCCATACAGACCCATACAGACCCACGTAAACCCACAAAGACCCACAGAGACCCACAGACACCCACAAAGACCCACTGAGACCCCACAGGGACCGAGAGATGCCCCCCGTTGCCCAAAAACTCAACCTGAACGTCACCGCAAGTTGAGGCCCCTCCCACCCTCCCAGCGTCCAATAGGCGACTCACTGAGGTTGTGCAGCCTCCTGAGGTTGATGACGATCGTCTCCTCCCCCTCCTCTGCCCCGCCCCCTTCGCCGCCGGCAATGTCCCAAGCCGCTGCCGAAGCCGCAGCAGCTGCAGTCCCCCCCCCGGCGAGCCCGCGGCCCCCTCGTTGGGGGGGCTCGAGCACCACAAGGAGGGAGGCGTCGCTCAGGCGCGACCAGGCCGGGACCCAGTCCAGGGCCCCCCTCCCCGGGGGCAGCCCCCCCACGGGGCGGCCCCCCTCGCCGAGGGAGACCCCCTGGACGGTCGCCCTGCCGACATGGCTCACGAGCTCCCACGGGCCGCTGGCCAGCGCCCTCGCCCAAGGGGGCACCGACTCCTGTGGAGAGGTGGGGGGGGGGGGGGGTGGGGGGTGGGGGGGGTCAGTGGTAGGCGGACGGAGATGTTGATTATCTCGCCTGGTACACAGGAGGTCGTAGATTCCACGTTGAGATGTTGACTACCTCGCCTGGTGTACAGGAGGTCGTGGGTTACACGCTGAGATGTTGACTACCTCGCCTGGTGTACAGGAGGTCGTGGGTTGCATGCTGAGATGTTGACTACCTCGCCTGGTACACAGGAGGTCGTGGGTTCCACGCTGAGATGTTGACTACCTCGCCTGGTACATAGGAGGTCGTGTGTTCCACGCTGTGACCAGTCACAAGCTAATCATTCAGCCATTTCAATGCTAATTTATATGCTAATTCCTTTGTCAAGGCGCTTTGTTCCTTTCACACAGCTTAAAGGCCGTATCTGAACGTGGCTCTTTCACTCCAGCGCTGTCCTACCAGACAGTCTCGCCCCCTTCACCTGATGAAGGCCGCTTGTGTTGTGGCCGAAACGTCGTGAGAATATTATTGTGTTATTTTATTTTATCAATTTATTATTTTATTATCATTCTACGTGACTTTACCGAAAGAACCAAAGGAGATGTTGACTACCTCGCCTGGTACACAGGAGGTCGTGGGTTCCACGCTGAGATGTTGACTACCTCACCTGGTGTACAGGAGGTCGTGGGTTCATGCTGAGATGTTAACTACCTCGCCTGGTACACAAGAGGTCGTGGGTTCCACGCTGAGATGTTGACTACCTCGCCTGGTGTACATGACGTCGTGGGTTCCATGCTGAGACGTTAACTACCTCGCCTGGTGTGCAGGAGGTCGTGGGTTCCACGTTGAGATGTTGACTACCTCGCCTGGTGCGCAGGAGGTCGTGGGTTGCATATTGAGATGTTGACTACCTCGCCTGGTGTACAGGAGGTCATGGGTTCAATGCTGAGATGTTGACTACCCCGCGTGGTGTACAGGAGGTCGTGGGTTCCATGCTGAGATGTTGATTACCTCACATGGTGTACAGAAGGTCGTGGGTTCAATGCTGAGATGTTGACTACCTCGCCTGGTACACAGGAGGTCGTGGGTTCCATGCTGAGATGTTGACTACCTCGCATGGTGTACAGGAGGTCATGGGTTTAATGCTGAGATGTTGACTACCTCGCCTGGTGCACAGGAGGTCGTGAGTTGGATGCTGAGACGTTGACTACCTCACCTGGTACCCAGGAGGTCGTGGGTTCCATGCTGAGACGTTGACTACCTCGCCTGGTACACAGGAGGTCGTGGGTTCCATGCTGAGATGTTGACTACCTCGCCTGGTACGCAGGAAGTCGTGGGTTCCATGTTGAGATGTTGACTACCTCGCATGGTACGCGGCAGGTCGTGGGTTCCATGCTGAGATGTTGACTACGTCGCCTGGTGTACATGAGGTCGTGGGTCCTATGCTGAGATGTTGACTACCTCACCTGGTGTACAGGAGGTCGTGGGTTGGATGTTGAGATGTTAACTACCTCGCCTGGTGTACAGGAGGTCGTGGGTTGTATGCTGAGACGTTGACTACCTCGCCTGGTACACAGGAGGTCGTGGGTTCCACGCTGAGATGTTGACTACCTCGCCTGGTACACAGGAGGTCGTGTGTTCCACGCTGAGATGTTGACTACCTCGCCTGGTGTACCGGAGGTCGTGGGTTCCACGCTGAGATGTTGACTACCTCGCCTGGTGTACCTGAGGTCGTGGGTTCCACGCTGAGATGTTGACTACCTCGCCTGGTGCGCAGGAGGTCGTGGATTCCATGCTGAGATATTAACTACCTCGGCTGGTGTACCGGAGGTCGTGGGTTCCACGCTGAGATGTTGACTACCTCGCCTGGTACACAGGAGGTCGTGGGTTCCACGCTGAGATGCTGACTACCTCGCCTGGTACACAGGAGGTCGTGGGTTGGATGTTGAGATGTTGACTACCTCGCCTGGAACACAAGAGGTCGTGGGTTGCATGCTGAAATGTTGACTACCTCACCTGGTACACAGGAGGTGGTGGGTTCCATGTTGAGATGTTGACTACCTCGCCTGGTACGCGGGAGGTCGTGGGTTGCATATTGAGATGTTGACTACCTCGCCTGGTGTACAGGAGGTCATGGGTTCAATGCTGAGATGTTGACTACCCCGCGTGGTGTACAGGAGGTCGTGGGTTCCATGCTGAGATGTTGATTACCTCACATGGTGTACAGAAGGTCGTGGGTTCAATGCTGAGATGTTGACTACCTCGCCTGGTACACAGGAGGTCGTGGGTTCCATGCTGAGATGTTGACTACCTCGCATGGTGTACAGGAGGTCATGGGTTTAATGCTGAGATGTTGACTACCTCGCCTGGTGCACAGGAGGTCGTGAGTTGGATGCTGAGACGTTGACTACCTCGCCTGGTACCCAGGAGGTCGTGGGTTCCATGCTGAGACGTTGACTACCTCGCCTGGTACACAGGAGGTCGTGGGTTCCATGCTGAGATGTTGACTACCTCGCCTAGTACGCAGGAAGTCGTGGGTTCCATGTTGAGATGTTGACTACCTCGCATGGTACGCGGCAGGTCGTGGGTTCCATGCTGAGATGTTGACTACGTCGCTTGGTGTACATGAGGTCGTGGGTCCTATGCTGAGATGTTGACTACCTCACCTGGTGTACAGGAGGTCGTGGGTTGGATGTTGAGATGTTAACTACCTCGCCTGGTGTACAGGAGGTCGTGGGTTGTATGCTGAGACGTTACCTCGCCTTGTACACAGGAGGTCGTGGGTTCCACGCTGAGATGTTGACTACCTCTCCTGGTACACAGGAGGTCGTGTGTTCCACGCTGAGATGTTGACTACCTCGCCTGGTACAGAGGAGGTCGTGGGTTCCACGCTGAGATGTTGACTACCTCGCCTGGTGTACCTGAGGTCGTGTGTTCCACGCTGAGATGTTGACTACCTCGCCTGGTGCGCAGGAGGTCGTGGATTCCATGCTGAGATATTAACTACCTCGGCTGGTGTACCGGAGGTCGTGGGTTCCACGCTGAGATGTTGACTACCTCGCCTGGTACACAGGAGGTCGTGGGTTCCACGCTGAGATGCTGACTACCTCGCCTGGTACACAGGAGGTCGTGGGTTGGATGTTGAGATGTTGACTACCTCGCCTGGAACACAAGAGGTCGTGGGTTGCATGCTGAAATGTTGACTACCTCACCTGGTACACAGGAGGTGGTGGGTTCCATGTTGAGATGTTGACTACCTCGCCTGGTACGCGGGAGGTCGTGGGTTGCATGCTGAGAAGTTGACTACCTCGCCTGGTACGGGAGATTGTGGGTTCCATGTTGAGATGTTGACAACCTCGCCTGGTACGCAGGAGGTCGTGGCTTCCATGCTGAGATGTTGACTACCTCGCCTGGTGCGCAGGAGGTCGTGGATTCCATGCTGAGATATTAACTACCTCGGCTGGTGTACCGGAGGTCGTGGGTTCCACGCTGAGATGTTGACTACCTCGCCTGGTACACAGGAGGTGGTGGGTTCCATGTTGAGATGTTGACTACCTCGCCTGGTACACGGGAGGTCGTGGGTTGCATGCTGAGAAGTTGACTACCTCGCCTGGTACGGGAGATTGTGGGTTCCATGTTGAGATGTTGACAACCTCGCCTGGTACGCAGGAGGTCGTGGCTTGCACGCTGAGATGTTGACTACCTCGCCTGGTGCGCAGGAGGTCGTGGATTCCATGCTGAGATATTAACTACCTCGGCTGGTGTACCGGAGGTCGTGGGTTCCACGCTGAGATGTTGACTACCTCGCCTGGTACACAGGAGGTCGTGGGTTCCACGCTGAGATGCTGACTACCTCGCCTGGTACACAGGAGGTCGTGGGTTGGATGTTGAGATGTTGACTACCTCGCCTGGAACACAAGAGGTCGTGGGTTGCATGCTGAAATGTTGACTACCTCACCTGGTACACAGGAGGTGGTGGGTTCCATGTTGAGATGTTGACTACCTCGCCTGGTACGCGGGAGGTCGTGGGTTGCATGCTGAGAAGTTGACTACCTCGCCTGGTACGGGAGATTGTGGGTTCCATGTTGAGATGTTGACAACCTCGCCTGGTACGCAGGAGGTCGTGGCTTCCATGCTGAGATGTTGACTACCTCGCCTGGTGTACAGGAGGTCGTGGGTTCCACGCTGAGACGTTGACTACCTCGCCTGATGCACAGGACATCATGGGTTCTATGCTGAGATGTTGACTACCTCGCCTGGTGTACAGGAGGTCGTGGGTTCCACGCTGAGATGTTGACTACCTCGTCTGGTGTACAGGAGGTCGTGGGTTCCATGGTGAGATGTTGACTACCTCGCCTGATACGCAGGAAGTCGTGGGTTTTATGCTGAGATGTTGACTACCTCGCCTGGTACACAGGAGGTCGTGGGTTCCACGCTGAGATGTTGACTACCTCGCCTGGTACACAGGAGGTCGTGGGTTCCATGTTGAGATGTTGACTACCTCGCCTGGTACACAGGAGGTCGTGGGTTACACGCTGAGATGTTGACTACCTCGCCTGGTCTATAGGAGGTCGTGGGTTCCATGCTGAGATGTTGACTACCTCGCCTAGTACCCAGGAAGTCGTGGGTTCCATGCTGAGATGTTGACTACCTCGCCTGGTGTACAGGAGGTCGTGGGTTCCATGCTGCGATGTTGACTACCTCGCCTGGTACGCAGGAGGTCGTGGGTTCCATGCTGAGACGTTGACTACCTCGCCTGGTGTACAGGAGGTCGTGGGTTCCATGCTGCGATGTTGACTACCTCGCCTGGTACGCAGGAGGTCATGGGTTCCATGCTGAGACGTTGACTACCTCGGCTGGTACGCGGGAGGTCGTGAGTTGAATGTTGCGATGTTGACTACCTCGCCTGGTACACAGGAGGTCGTGGGTTCCATGTTGAGATGTTGACTACCTCGCCTGGTACACAGGAGGTCGTGGGTTCTATGTTGAGATGTTGACTACCTCGCCTGTT